TGTAAACAACATTGCTTATCAGTTGCTCGCTTACGTGAAACGAACTACAAGTTTATGTAAACGCATGCTTACATCAAAATTAAAATTCAGAATTTTTTTATTTGTATATAATACATTATCGCACTAGAGCTTCATGTTGACAAAAGTATAGTATTTATTTACTCCCAAATCTGGACAACGATTAAATCATATTATGAAACATTACAATTTATTACCAACACACCAAAAAATTATGAATTTTAATGGTGATGTAAATATCCATGCATGCTAAAATTAAAGTATTTAAACTTTCTTTTCACGTAAACTAGCAACTTGCAAGAAATATTGCTTACAAAGATGGATGGTTGCATACAATATTTAGAATATTTCATTAAATGACTCATAAATTTACACGATCTGTAATGTGAATTTGTACGATATGTGCCGCTCCATTTCTGTGCATCATAGTGACAAAAATTTACACTACTTTTTCGAACTGTGAAGGATTCCAAACAATGCCAATTAGTATGCCCAAGCTGATTTTTGGCACACTTGTGGAGTGACCAACCCCTTGTATTTAACCGAGAAAATATTTTTTTTCGCCCTGTTTCGAACGTGTTCTATCTCATTAGCGATTGTATACACTGAAACAAAAAACTTAACAGAACCACTTATGTTGTTTTCCCACAAGGATTTATTATGAAAATCATAAGTTTAACTCATGAAACATAATACATGAGTCAAAACAATGAAATTTATAACTTATCTTTTGGAACATAAAATATAATAATATTATTTGGAGCAGACTGGTCTCAACCCCTGAGCGTTCGGATTATTTAGTCAGTGATTTGTACTCAGATACAATAGCGCTGCGTTTGAGTGAAGGTGGAAGCAATGCATAGAAAAATGAGCAAATACACAAACCTTTCTTCTGAGGATGTAATCTTTGGTATCAAATTCGTTCGAAGCATTTACCTTTGAGCGGCAGATGACGTGATTGTACCTGTCTCATAGCGTTCGTATGAGAAAATGGAAGAGTTGCCAGTCTTCTTGATTTGTGGTCTTTGGTTCAATCCTAGTCGGCGCCGCCGGGATGTTCTGAGGCATAATAACATCTCTGATCACGCCTTCATTAGGAAGGGACGTAAAGCCGTTGGTCCCCGGTTCATGAGTTGATGGGTCGATAGGTAGGTTCCAGGTGTGGTAGCTGTCTCCCTGGCGTCGGTACATTGGTGCTCAGCACGGAAAACAAGATCGACGGAAAACAAATCAAGGGAAAAAAACACTTCGAATCGAAATCGAATAAGCTAAAGGCGTGTAAGAACCATCTTGTAGTACGATAATTGTTCATAAATGTTGCTTATTTAATTTATAAATGTCTTATGAAACCAATAATTTAAGGTTCATAAGATATGCCAAATGGATTCTTAAGTGTTTTTTTTTTGCCTCAGTGTACATTCCGGTGATGACGACGACTGCCGCTCAAAATGAGTGACATCACCGCAATGGACCAGTTTCAAGCCAAATATACAAACATAACCTTGACCTTCTCCAATTTGCATGAAACTTTGCATATTTTTTTGTTATGGGCATTCTTTCAATGCGAAAATTCGGTAATTTTAAATCAGGTAATAAGTCCTTTTCATTTTTCAATAAATTGTAATCACGCATGATCAAAATGACGTCTAATACAGTTGTTTAGAAAAAGAAAGTCTTTTTGGGAAAAATGGACACGGTAATCTTTTTTTTTATTTGTAGTAAAAATTCTATAATAAATAACTCAAAAAGTATATCTTTAATATACATAATTTATTTTTTAAATAAAGCTCATAAGAAATGGGTTTTTAAACTGCATGAAAATTTCCAAAATTCCGTAGAACTTCAACTTTTGGTCATATCTTTAAACTTCTTGTTAATAAGCTTTTTACGTAATTTATGCACAGATTAAGAATTACTCAAATATTATTTCCTGTGTAGAAATTACATTAAAAGCGTACTAACAATGAGTTCAAACATTTATCCAATAGTTCTTGATCATCGAGTTTTGTCAATTTTCAAGTGTCTGGTTTTAAATATTTCGAAGGTTTGTATTTTTTATGAGATTTATTTAAATATTCAAAATGTAAAAACAAAATTAAGATATACTTTTTGAGATATTTGAGATTTTAACACTTTTTTGGGATTTATATTCAAACTAAGAAAAAAAATGTTATGTTAATTTTTCCCAGAAAGACTTTTATTATCTCTTCTACAACTTTGTCTCAGACGTCATTTCGATCAGATGTGACGTTCTCGTGCAAAAATTTATTGAAAATCGACAAAGACGTTAAAATAGCAACATCCAAAATGGCCGAATTTTCGTATAAATGTGAATGATTGCCCATAACACACAATTATGCAAAGTTTTGTGAAAATTGAGTTTTTTTTTTCGATTCGTCATTTGGCGTGGAACTGCTCGATTCACATTAAGAAACCTCAGCAGCGAAGGCATATGCGTAGATTAACCTCCTTGCGTGGCTAAACCATTATTTTTGATCAAAATCAAGCATTACGGCACAAATATTGCACGTCTTAAGCGATCTCAGCCGAGCTCAACTGCGTTTTAAAAGGTTTTAATTTCTCCGTCAAGAGTTAACTTTACTTTCCCCATAAGAAAAACACGGGAGAGTTTACTACTACTTCTTCTGCTGAATTACTGAACAGTATCAGGCCACTTTCACAGTGTTAGACTTGGCTTAAGAAGTTGGTAATCGAAATATTGTTACTATAAATTTCTTAGCAATAGGTAGTATACGTATTTCAGTACAACGTTGGTTAAATATATTAACGTCTCTTTAAACTGTTCCTCTGGTAGAGGATAATTAAGTTCATTCGAGACGGGGTTCAGTACAACGTTGATACCTATAAGGTGCATGAAAAAAAGGTTACTTTGATTTAAGTATAAAATTTGGAAGATGTTGATCATCAATTTTATGAGAATTTTCTGATATTTTGGAAAAAATTATTGACGGAACTGGAAAATAGCAAAATACATTCGAAAACGGCAAAAATTTTGCATCATTTAAAAACAATCGTCATTCAAGCCACTATATTTCTAAAACGGAGTGACTTACCATAATTTTAGATGAGTGCTTAATTATAGTAAATTTAAAGTACTTTCATTATATAAAGTAAAAAAAAAAAATTGAACTATTTTGATATTGTTTATTGTTTTAAAAAAAATCATTACTTTTTTGTCCATCATTTTTATCTTGATCTAAAGTGCGATAGATGGCATTGGTTGTCCACTTAATCATATCATATTTTTTTTTATTTCAAAACTATCTGCAATATTTTTAGAGTGACTATTATTTTTTTCAAATAGTCCCAGCCATTACCTATAACATTGCCGAAAACACCAAAGCGATTGAAAAAAAAAAACAGTTTTCTGAAGATAAGCTTTGCATTGTTCTATAGGCTTCTTCTTTCTTCTTCACATTTCAAGCTTATCGCATATTAGCTTATTGCATTATCTCAACTTAGTGATGCACTTCCACAGATTTCGATGCCTGTACCATGTTTGCATTAGTACGATGGTGTGGCAAGTACAATCATACTCCATGCTCAGGGAAGGTCGCGAAATTTCCCAAACGAAAAAAATCCTAGACCAGATCGGGAATCGAACCCAGCCATCTCCTGCATAGTCTTGCTGCTGCGCATTTACGTCATTGTAGCTGCGCATTTACCGACTGAGCTAAGGGAGTCCCATTATATAGATCCTTTTCAAAGATAAGGCTGGATGAAAAATGGTAATCTGAAGATGCAAAATGGCATTTTTGGTAATGACGAACGTTTCTGCAAAATTTTTAGCCAAATTAAAAACCACAAACTACTATGAAAATGGTATTTACTCTCTTTATCTACATTCTTTTATCACAAACTTTTTACATATTGATCAAGTCTTGCTTCCCCGAATCAAACACTTCAACCTTTTTTGTTTATCGCAACGATTTGTTCCGCATTTTTTTCCACTCAACAATTTCTTCCTGATCCAGTATAATAGCCCCGCATCGGTTTCATCATTCGCTGCAGGTACAGCCAGGAATGATGATCCCGGTTTGATGAATGGTTTTGGTTGTGTGCAAAATGTTGGCTTCATCAATTTAATTTTCGGCGCACGGTGGTGCACGGCGAGATCGAATAATCTGTTCGGTGGTGTTGCTCCCGCCTGAGACAGGCATTTATCAATCGAAGTTCGTTAGTTTCGTTTCAGCTGGCGAACGCGCTCAGGGATCATTTATCAGCTGCAGCGCAATTAAATTGTGAAACCTTTGACATGCACGATTGGGGATGGATGAATTTTTGACGACCAAGCAGCGTTTCAAGCACACGGCGAATGAGAACGACCCAAATTTGAGTTTAGTTAACTCATAAATCACATAAAGTGCAGGAACTCAGCGATGAGTAAATTTGGCTCATGTTTTTCTAGGTTTGTCCAGGAAAAACTTCCCGAATAAGAGGAAAGTAAAGATTGGATTCACTCAGTCTACTGGTACTACTCCTCGAATGAGTAAAATTTTCGTCAATTTTCCTCATTTTCCGGAAGATTTTTGAGGTTTTCCACCGCTGAACTCAAATCTCAAATTTGGGTCGTTCTAATTCGTCGTGCGATGGTGAAGAAAATTAGGGGCTTGCGATGGTTTTTGCATTGTGTAAGTGACCCGTGGGTGGTGTTCGGGTTCTTGATTACCGGCTCCTCGAGAGAGTTGCTTCTGACTGAAACCGTTGCGTTGCGAACGTGGTTGACGATGTTGACAATAACGCGCCTGCGGAGACAACGATATCTGGGGGGAGAGTGAGATAAACAAAAACCCTCAACCGGTGCTTATCTTGGAGCGCGGGTCCGGACCCCGACAGGGCTCTGCCCTGCCTGGAGAGAAAGAGCGAATGAGACACACGCCATGAGCCAAGCGGGTGAGAATTGTTGGGAAACTTTCCGGGCACCTCCATACACCGGTTAATGCATATATAAACTCGGCACCGATTCGGTGCTAATCACAGTTTGTCGCTAGCTTGCTTTCGTTGAACAGCGCCGTACTTTGACTGTTGCAAACTTTTGAGATAAAACCGGAGAAATCTACATAACTGGTAAGTTGTTCTGGGAAGGTGTCAACAGAAACGATAAGTGGAACACGGTTCAATTAGGAAGTTTGCTGGTGATAGCTCGGAGTGTTTTGGATGAGTGATTTGAAAGCGAAGTTAAGTGGTCAATAGAGAGGGTTCGTCGCTTGTTGTGATCCGGTGCTAGGGGGGGAAGTCTATTGTGATCTAGTTAAGTGGAGTAAGGGTGTGACGGTTTTGAAATGTTTCCAAAGCAGTTTAGTTTTTAAGGTCACACATTTCAACGTAAGATTCCCAGAAGAATTGTTGATTGTTTAAGTTCACACGAGTTAAAAATGGTCCTAACTGAATGAATCCTTTGTGTGATCTTGTGTTCACAGAGCTATGCAAATTTTTTTTATAAGATAATCACTGCTCGTTAAGTGAAGTGTTGTTTCAGCAAGAATGCTTACACCCAACCGAGAGATGTAAGATTCAACAGACTTTGTAATGATTCACCGCATGAACAGATTGTGTAATGTGTTCGTCGGAAGGATTTTAATATTATTTTGTAATTTTGATGTTGGCTAATGTTTCGTTTCCTTTAATACATTGTGGCTAGAAAAAAATATCATGAAGGTTTTGTGAGAAAATATTCATTCTAGAAAAACTTGCCTGTACGCTACAGACCATTGTTAAAATTGACATTACATTTGTTGTAATTGGATTTAAGAAATCCGCCCTTGCACAGTGTTCGGAAAAACTCAAAAATTCAAAAACTCAAAACTCATGTGTGAGTTTATGCGCCTTGCAAAATTCAACAGCGCGAAAATAACGGATGAGTTTTCAAGTTCAAAAATGTCTTTCCTTTTTATTTTGACGCTTTGAGAATGATTTTCCGAACACTGCCCTTGCATTTGATGTTCATGCTATTTGTTTTGCGTGTAGAAACAGAGAACAAAGTGCAATTATTTTTGAGGGGTAAATTCAAAGAGCTGAGAAAAAACAAGTCGGTTTGACCGACAACGATTCAGTCATCGGTGGGAATGATATACCATTCTCCCAGAATTAGCGAGAATGTTTAAAATACGGTAAATGACGGGTTCAGCGATACCTTTAGCTATTATCATCGGGGGGTAAATATCTCTTTTGTGAGATTGGTGATGTCATAATTGTTTTGAAAATTTAGTTTAAGTTGAAAATATTGTTAGCAATGAGAGCAAATGTTAAATTCAATTTCTTCCTGCGTACACACATAGAAAAATATGTAAATATAGGTGCTTGGAGACTGACATTTACGAGCGTCAATTTTGACATAAAAGTGAGTCATAACAGACGTGAATTTCAACGCAATAAAACGTACTTTTCGTCGAGTAATGAACTTTTCAGTCTTAGAGCACTTAATTTTGCATGAAATATTTGTTTACGTCTGTTCCTATATGTCAAAGATGGATTCCATTACGTGTTTAATAAGTTATTTCTAAGTGTGCTGTTGTTGTGATTTGAAAATAATTGTTCAAAATTAGATAATTTGCATAAGTCGTATGACATGATTCTTTTGAAATTGGAACATTCAATTTGGAAGGAACACACTTTTGAAAATTCATGAAAATTCATGTAAATTTAGGTACTCTGAGACTAACATATACGAGCAACAAGTTCGAAATAAAATCGAATCATAATAGATGCGAAATTACGCACAATCAAACGTATTTTTCGTCGAGTAACAACATTTTCAGTCTCGTAGCACTTAATTCTACATTACATGTTTGTTTACATCTCATTCTTTATGCCAAACATGGATTCCGTCACGCGTAAAATTAGTTATTTCTAAGTGTGTAGATTCTTCTGCTGGGGCTCTGCAATCTTTCCTTAATGGGCTTATTATACTTATGCTATTTCACTAGCTCTATCAGCTCAACCAACTAGCGAGAATTTCAGTTGTCCCTGAAATCTCATGTTGGTAGATGCTGACGCCCTGTTTACATTATGCTGGTTACTTGCTCCGTTACCTATTTCAAACCCACTCAACTTGGGCTTGAACAGTCATAGTCTCTAACGGATTGTGAAAAATCTGTTTAAATTGAAAATTGGCCACTTACTCTGATACCATATAATCTGGTCTGGGACCGTCGGGTGACTAATTTTGTTCTGATCAATTTCAATGGTCTCTTATTACGAATTTAACATGATGGTTTTCTGTTAAAGTTTGAATTTGGTCACTTTCCCTAGATCTCTGGAATCTGCTCCTGGTAGCTTATTTTATCACTAACACATGGACACTGATGAATTGTTGTAACAATTCTGAACGTTTTTTTTTTCAGTCAGCTCTGGAACCTATTTAATCACCACTGGATAAACAATTGAGTCCTGGAGAGTCATAGTCATGATTTTAAAAGGATTGCACACAAATTCTGCTCTATTAAAAATATCCAAATTATCGTTGAAATTTTAAAATATTTTTAACACTCATACGATTTCCAATGGATTTAGATGTCTCATGATGGGATTCTTTTGAAGTTGAAAATAAGCCATGGCCTCGAAGACCATTGAATCTGGTCTGAAACAATCGGTTCACTCATTTTTCCGAGGAAAATTACAACAATTTTTCTCTGTGAAGGATTTATTCAGGGCTCCCGTACCCATCTGGGGGACCAATTTGATTCTGGATAGGCTTCAAAACGATTGTATTCAAATTCTGATAATTGGGCTGTGTTGACATTGGATGTTGGACACTTGCGCAATTCATCCACAGTATTTCATTCAAAGTGTTTTTATGTTACTTCATACGTGAAGTTAGCGATTTTCAGAGTTGGTTGGAAATGCTAACATGAAGCTTTCGTGTGATAATTTATTAGCTAGAGAATGATCTTTAGAAGAGAGTAGGTGGATAGTTCCGTTAGATTACGGCAGTATGAAAATTGAATAGAAATTGAAAATGAGCGAAGGGCCATTAATGCGACAGTTTTTAAAGATAGACGCACATTTTTGCCTAACCCGTACGATGTACTTCAAGTCTCCGCGTACATCGTACGGGTTAGGCAAAAATGTGCGTCTATCTTTAAAAACTGTCGCATTAATGGCCCTTCGCTCTTTCAATTTCTATTCAATTTTCATACTGCCGTACTCTAACGGAACTATGCACCAACTCTCTTCTAAAGATCATTCTCTAGCTAATAAATTATCACACTAAACTTTCATGTTAGCATTTCCAACCAACTCTGAGTATTTCATTATTTATAATATTGGTTATGTTTTTACAAGATCTGGTTCTGATAAGTAGTCTTAGTTTCAAACGGATTGTGGATATTGGACATGCTCCATGATGGGTTTTGGTATACAATGTAAATTGGCCACTTCATATGAGACCTTGAACTCTAGTCTGAGACCTTCGGGATGGCCTATCTTGCCCTGAACGATTGACATGGAGTCAAATGAATTTGACATTGGTGTTATCCTCGTCATGCTGCTTGGAGGTTTCTGTTAAAATTAGGAATTAGCCACTACCCCTAGAGTTCTGAAACTATGTTCCGGGTAGCTTATTTGATTGTGAGTAGAATTCCGGAACCTGTTTGGAAGCTACTAATCTGGTCCTGTGTGTTTGGGTTCAATCCCTGCCAAGGCCGGAGAGATTTTTCTGAGACACAAACATCTCTGGGGGAAGTAAAACCTTCGTTTCCAGCCCATGTGATTGATAGGTGTGATTTCTACACAGGTGTGGAAGCTGCCTCCCTGGCTATTCGATTGCCGTCAATGGATGACAATCGATGTCCGTTGGTGATTGGCACTCGATTGCAGAACTGAGTCCGGCGATAAATTAGGTTCTGCAACGTGACGTTACGAATGAACTCAGTGTTCCTCGGATGAACTTTGTGACAGTTTAGTGGTACTGTTTACAAGCACTTAGATTTTTTTTTCGAAAAAAATAATTTCAAAAATTCTGAATTTTATTTTAAAAAATGCTAAAGAAATGCGCGGAGAAAGAATGTTGCTCGTCGACATTGCAGAAGTGTAGTTTATCACTGCGGTCTGTAAAACTATCGAGAAAATCTATCCCAGATAAATTGGCAAAGTCCACGTAAACAATATCATTGAACTGTCATTTGATTGAGGTTAACCCAGACGGTGCATAATTTTATAAAGGAATTAAGAAGAAGAAGATTAAGAGTCAGGATAATACACTTTGCACTTGAGAATGTGGTTACGCAAGTGTGCGTGTTATAAACGGCACAAAGGTTAATGCAGATCGGATAATAAAAGGAAGGCGAAAAGTTATGTCTATACTAACAAGCGAAAAGAGCTCATGAGCCAAATGTAAGGAATTACTTTAAAAATCGATTGCATTGCATTTGATTAATTTGGTATTGGAATGATATTTTGGGAATATTTTTTGCTATTATTTTTTATCTTATGTCAGGCTAATCCATGCCAATTTAAGGTATCGAGATATTTGCTCCTGCTCGGGATTTCACCCATTTTAGGCAAAAGCGGCTTAACTCATTGATTTTAAACTTTTTTTTGTCTCTATTTGGGAAGCCTTCAGTCTGAGGCTGGTTCGTCTTTATATTTTTACTCACAAATGAGTTCCTAATGTGTAATAATTAGTTACCTGTGGTAATTAGTTACTCATTCGATGGGGTTTGTTTAATGAGTTCAGCCGCTGTTGTTAAAAATGGCTGGAACTTTATTCATTAATGGATGCCTTCGAGTTTGCGCTAAACGCTTTGATATTCGGGTTGATTTTTTTTTCGACTTCTATATCACAAAAAAAAAAATCGAAGTGATAAGAGCTTAAACAATTTGATTCATGAAAAATGTTAAAATTTTCATGTAAAAAGTATAAAAAATTACATTTTAATTTCAACCCTTTAAAAAAATCGGTATAAAATTAATAGTAATTTTTCTCTTAAATACCATAGATTGATCATTTGGATTTTTCTCTCTTTGGTAAACCAATTTATCAACCCAAATGTCGTTTTTGCATTGTAACGTGGGCATTTTTATTTGAAAAAGGTTTTCCCAACAACAAACTGTTTCATGTCTGCTCTGAACCAAATATTAATCGTTAAATGTTTCTAGAAATGCCCTGGATTCAGTCTCAAAATTAATCATTTTGTCAAGCTTCTGCATTCGTGTTCTATCAGATGTCACTACTGTTGTTTGCGGTGACATCTATCAGAAACTACACACAATCTGTTTTCCTATAATTGTTCACAGAGGACACTGCAGTGCAAAACATGTCTGGTACCTCTATAAATGCATTTAGATTATTATTCAAAGTCCCTCCTTTTTTACACATTCTGCACTCAATATAGCTCACCCCTCACAGAATTTCCCGCCAATTTTTGTGTATTGGGCGGGGCATAAATTATCTTTTGCGCAGAATATGTAAAATGGAGGGATTTCAGACGTTAAAGAAAATGCATATATAGAGGTACCAGACATGTTTTGTAGTGACAGGTACTCTATTTTATAATCTGTGAAAGGGAAATCACAAATCGAGTGTCAACAAAATACATGTCATGTTGAGAGATTGAGGTCCGTGAGAGCAAATTTTCTCTCTCAAATTTGAATTCTTTGGCTCTCTGGGAACTGGTAGTAAAACAAATAAAGCTGTACGGGGAAAAGTCATTTTTAATTAATTGTAGCTTGTTTAACAATAATTTCCGGGAAAAAACTGAACGACAAAGTCCCTGACTAATCTTTTTAGTTTGTCGTTCACATTCCAACTTACCGTTTTTCAATTTCTATCATTTTCTAGTATTTTAGAATTTTTCCAAAAACAAATCTAATTTTAACGGTTTGATGGTCGGCGCAGCAGACAACAATTTTCGTTTGATTTAGTTTACAGTACAGTCTCTTTTCCCTAACTCGATATTGAAGAGACCATCGAAAGATGGAAACTCGTAATAGGAAAGGGTTTCAAATTAGCCTGGAGCCATCGAGTTAGGGAGAGTTGAGTGTATTTTGTATCTTTCATTGATTCCGTCCGTCCGTGAAATGCATTGACGTGCAACAACCCTGCGAGCTAAATGATGTCGACCGTCAAGGAAATGAATCTTTCAGCTGAGCAGTGTTTCAATTGACTGCCGTGAACTTTGCACTTTCCGGCAAAAAAAAAATACAACGATTTTCTTATCAAGCTGGGATCGCATTACGTTCCGTGTCTCGAAGCAATTAAACTTGTTTTGACGCTAGCAGACAGAGCTGTGGGTTTATGGTCACTGCCTGATCGTAAAAATGGTCCTCAATCGTACGTGGTGAACCTGGTTGAACTTGAGTCTAGACAGATCGCACCATGATGGGAACCTTAACCTTTCATGACGATTGTTTTGTCTTCGATCGTTTTCTATTAAGGGCTTAAACCGTCTGCCTGCAGTTGGGAATGTGAAGTTGAAACACTGTCGCCAAAATAGCTCGACTTAAATTTGTTGACTCACCACCGCCGCTGACGACAGTTGCACACTCCACATACTGCACATACCAGTAGATGATCATTCAATCGTGAGTAGGTGATTTGCCTCTACTGATGACCACCCTGTCAGCACCGCATCATCATCATCATCATCATCATCACCATCATCAGTGTGAAGGGTGGGGAACGCAATCTCGATTACAATCGAAAGCATGGTGATTAAATTGCGCTATGACCCGGCTGCTGCTGGGAGAGCACGTGTTCACGGGTGGATTTCCCTCTTCCCACGACGGAGACTAATTGTCGATTGTATTGCAATTCGTACTGACCGGGTGACCTTTTCTTTGTATACTTCACAGATATCAAAATGAAACTGTTCGTCGTTGCTGCATTCGCCCTGTTCGCCGTGGTGGCCGCCCAGGAAAAGTACACCACCAAGTACGACGGCGTCGATCTGGACGAGATCCTCAAGTCAGACCGCCTGTTCAACAACTACTTCAAGTGTCTGATGGATCAGGGCCGTTGCACACCAGACGGTAATGAGCTGAAGCGTATCCTGCCCGATGCCCTCAAGACGGACTGTGTCAAGTGCAGTGAGAAGCAGAAGAACGGCACCCAGAAGGTCATCAATTATCTGATCGATAACCGCGCCAGTCAGTGGAAGAGCCTGCAGGCCAAGTACGACCCTGAAAACGTCTACGTCGAGAAGTACCGCGGCGATGCCAAGAAGGCTGGCATCAAGCTGTAAACGGGCTAGCATCCCTTAGCCGCAGCTGGACTGAGACTGAGACGCACCAGAAAAGCCTCAAACAAACAAACTAAAATCAAGTCCTACAATCTAACTAAGAATCTTCCCTCCGTACCCACAGTCGGTTTTGCAACTTGGAGCCCTGAGCCATTGTAGCATGAAAACATCCAGTCCAACTTTATTTTTCCTCCATCTGTGATCGAAGCTGTAAAAGTATGCAAACGCTTAGTGGCACGCGGTTTCATCCAATTTGTACCGTAGGGTTGCAAAATCGAACCAGCATATGTTCCGTCCCATCGGTTGTGGTCATTCAGCTTTGAGTTGCACTTTTACCGAGCGGTTGGAGCAGTACTGTTACTGTGAACTGTTATTTTTATAAGGAAAATAAAACTCTTTTAAAATAATTTGATCTTTTTTTTTATTGATTTTGTCCACTGATCGTATCATCTTCCGTACTGCTGTCAAGTATTCAGTGGTGTTATGCAGATCAATCCATATCTGTCTTGTTTCTAGTTTGCCATTTTCGCATGGAGTGGTAAGGTTCATTAAACGAAATCAAAATCTTAAATTTATCCACCTATATTGATACCATGGCACGATACTTTGAGACGATGGTGGAAACGTTCCTCAGACTAAAGGCTGAAGCCAATCGGATTGGACTCGTCATTAATGCATCGAAGACAAAATACATGAGAGGAAAGAGATTCAAGATACGATAATGTTAGCCGAGGTAGTGGACGAGTTCGGGTATCTGGGCTCACTGGTGACCGCCGATAATGACACCAGCAAAGAAATACAAAGACTTATTACGGTATGGATTCTTTCTTACTTTGGAGTCCATAGGATGCTCCGGTCGAATAAAGTTTGCCACACCTCGAAATTGACTATCTACAAAACGCTGATTAGACGGATAGTACTCTACGGCCACGGGAAAAGAAATGTGCCTTCGAACGAAAGGTGTTGCGTACCATCTACGGTGGACTGCAGATGAAAGAGGCGATTACACGAACTGCACCAACTACACTATGGGGATCGAGGTGGCCATCGGCTGTAAACTATTCAACGAAGATAAGCTAAGAATATCTGTTCTCAGAACCTTATACTTACCGAGATACAGGTAATTGAGTCGGACTAGGCTTGGAAGAGATCAAGAGTAAACAATCTACACGATGTTTTTATTCTAGCCATTAATGCTTCTGATCCCCTTGTAAGCTCATTTAATTAGGGTAATCGGCTAGGGAAATATTTTCTTGGATATCCCGAAGCTGTCTTAACATTTCTGGAATTTCAAAATAATAACATAGGAGAGCAATTCTCTACAGATTGACGAATTTTTTAATTTTTTTATAATTTGTCGGCTCCGATTTTGATGAAAATTTGCACAGTTGTTCAATTTTAGTAAAGATGCCAATTTGTGTTATCAGTTCTTCAAATTGAATCACGACTTCTTTTCTAACAGGGCCTGTGTAAAAATAGTACTAATGAGTTAAAAAATTTATATTGCTGAAACGCTTTGTTCGATTAATTTGGTGTCTTGAGCAAAGTTGTAGATATTATTTTGGCAATCATGTTAAAAATATACACTGTAAAAAAATTCGTTTGTTTCAATGAAAAAAACTATATTTCTTATTAAAAAAATTAATTTATCAAAAAGTACAATTTTCGTTTTAAGTCTCATTGAAGCTAATAATATTTGCTACAAATGATGAGATGAAAAGAGCTTGTTTATCAACACGAAGACGACAGGACGTGCAAATGCGAAAACCAGTATTCAATCCTGATGCTTCAGAATATCCAAGCGATTTTAATTTCTGGATGGTAATATTCGAAATATTTCTCAGCTCTTTCGAGCACTTGACTTCCTCGAACGGTCGAATGCACCTGATAAAACATGCTCGTTCAATCATGTTGCTTCCTGTATTAAAAAAAAATAAAAATAATAATTTTTAAAAATGATTTCATTGAAATACAACTGAAGGTTATGCTTACCTTTTAACCAAATGGTGTTACATTTATTTCCTATGATAACTTTTTAAGATGTATGCGGTAAAAAGAAATCTTTGTGATCAACTGCTTGTTTTCACCATTCAAACTCATTTAAGTATCAGATCGATAGGTATAATTTCTACATTAGGTACAGACAGATGTTTTTAGTGTTCACTACTACAGTGTTGAGTATTTGACTTATTACCGTTAAGATCACTGATACAACTATGCAAAATTGAAGACAATGAATAAAAAAGAAAATTAATCGCTAGTTTGAGCATCATTTCACTTTTATTTAGTTCTAGCTCAATATTCATCAAATGATTTTTTTAGTTTTGTTAGTAACGATACCTTTTCATGGTATCAGATGTAATGAATCCTAACTTTTCAATAGGGCCTGTGTAGAAAAACACTAATGAAATAAACATATCTATATTGCAAAAACGGCTAGCTTGATTGCATTGGTGTCTTGGAGAAAGTTGTGCAAAATTAAAATGCAATTCTTGAAAAAATATACACGGTTAAAAAAATGTGTTTTTAATGAAAATGTAAAAATCGTGAAATATTCAAAAAACCATAACTTTTTTGTTTTTGAGTTTACCATCACCAAACTTTGCCAATTAGTAGCAAACATTATGAGCTTCAATGAGACTTAAAACTTAAAATAAATATAATTTTTTTCATTGATACAAACGAAATTTTTTACAGTGTATATTTTTTACACAATTGCCAAAATAATATCTACAACTTTGCTCTAGACCCCAAATCAATCGAACTAAGCGTTTCGGCAATATATATTTTTAAACTCATTAGTACTATTTTTACACAGAACCTTTTCAAAAAGTAGTCGTAATTCAATATGAAAAACTGAGAGCACAAAATGGCGCCTTTACTAAAAAGAAACAACTGTGCAAAGTTTCAGCGTAATTGAAAATGATCGGTCAGGATCGATTTGCGAACCTTCGTGGAATGCCTCAGGAACAGAACTAAACACAGAAGGAAATGTATGGGATAAATTAGTGGATGACGTCGATGAAATTGATGACGAATTTGTTTATGATGTTAATGTAGAGAACGATTAATTAGTTTAAAGAATAATTCGCTATAGTATCGCAACATCTAAAAGCTTTTGATAAAGGGTGTCCACGATGAAATTGCCACACACAAAATTGTTTAGCAAAATTCGAGTTTTCATCCGATTGCCATCAAATTTTCAGGGATTGAGAAATAACTATTAAACTTCATTTTACCATTTTACTCGTATTTTATTTACAGTCCATACGCAAATGCCCGCACCTTGGCCTTAACCCCGGCCATAAGATTCTGCACAACCTGTGAATCAACCGTTTTTTGCATGTAAACCCATACTTTCTTCAGTTCCTCGACTGTCTTCACTACCTTAGGTCGTTTAAGAAGGTGCTGCTTCATAATCGCCCAGTGTTGGGAGGGTTGAACATTTTCGGCACGAAATTGACCTTATTGTCCGCATACCACTTCAGCACGTCCTTGGAGTAGTGGCATGAGGCCAAATCCGGCCAGAAGATTGTTGGGACGTTGTGGGCCTTCAGGAGAGGAAGCAGCCGCTTCTGGAGGCACTCTTTTATGTACACCTGTCCGTTCATCGTGTCCTGGGTCACGAAAGGTGCACTCCGCTTCCCGCACGTGCAGATGGCTTGCCAAACCAGGAATTTCTTCGCAAATTTGGACATCTTCTGAGTGCGGACATGCTCCGGAACGCTGAACTTATCCTTGGCCGTGAAAAACAGGTTGCCGGGGATCTGTTTGAAGTCGGTCTTCACATATGTTTCGTCGTCCATGATGCAGCATTCAACTTTCGTCAGCATGTTGAGGTACAACTTCCTGGCACGGGTTTTGGCGGACTTGTTCTGCTTCTCGTCGCGATTAGGGGCCTTTTGTACCTTGAACGTTCGAAGCCCAGCCTTAGTTTTGGCCTTCTGGACAAAACTTCGGCTTAGGTGCAGCTTCTTAGCCACATCCCTAACGGAGGCGTTCGGATTTCGGTTGAAGGCCCCAACTACGCGGTTGTGATTTTTGGTGTTGTACGGAATACTTTTTCCTTCACTTCTGGGCTTCCGATCGGTGGTCAACCGTTCCTCGAACCGCTTAATCACTCGCGACACCGTGGAATTCGCGATTCCCAACGTTTTAGCGATGGAACGATGCGAGAGATCCTTGTTCTCGTGATGAATGCGCAAGATTTTATCACGCACGAGCTGTTCTTTCGACTCCATTTCCGCGAGTTTTGATCACAGGACTTTAAAACTTGCAGGATGCACTATGAACTAAATCCACCCAAATTTTCATTAAATTCTACCCAACGGTTAAAAAGTTAGAGCAATTTCATAGTGTGGCAATTTAATCGTGGACACGCTTTATATCTTGAACCATATCAAAATCCCTTGAGATTTTCCAACTTATGAAGATTTTCAGGACATTGTTCAAGACTGCATTATGCTTGTACAACTGCTTGACTCTACACACTTAGAAATTCTTAATTTTACACGTGACGGAATCCATCTTTGACATAAAGGATGACACGTAAACACACATGTCATGTAAAATAAGGTGCTCCGAGACTGAAAAGTTCGTTATTCGACGAAAAGTACGTTTGATTGAACTGTTTATGTCAATTTATGTCAAAATTGTCGCTCGTATATGTCAGTCTCAGAGCACCTAAATTTACATGAATTTTTTAAGTGTGTATAATAGTTCGAAAAGCATAAAATCTCTAAAAGGCTGTCCACATACCAGCTGTTTGGCTATTTTAGGTCCCCTTTCTACTTTTTTTTTTTTACTGACATAATAGGCATTTACGTTTATACAAAAATTCGGCCATTTTAGATGTTGTTTTTTTTTCAAAATGATGTCTTTGGGATTTTGCAATAAATAAACGTCACTTTTAATCAAAGCTGCCAGATTTACAGACATGTCTTCGAATTTACAGACTTTTATATTTTTCACAGACATTTCTTTTCGTTACAGACATTTACAGACTGTTTAGTTTTTTCACAGATATTTACAGACTTTTGTAATCCACCACACGAACGAACTGTCACTGTTATAGACGCTCATAGTTATAGACCTGGTAATGTGCTGCCATGTTGTATCCAAAACGAGCATTTTTCATACGATTTGATGGTTT